AATCAGGGTAAACAGTCCCCTTAAACCAGACACCACTACAGAAAAAGAATAGAATACAACAGAATAAAGCACACTTAAATAGAACAAAACAGAATAGAATATAGCACGATGAACCTGAAGAAAATAGAATAGAAATGAATAGAATTAAAGGGATTGTTCACCCAAAAATTTTAATGAAGTCATTATTAAGTTACCCTGTTGATGTTTAAATGCCATTAATATTTTTTAGACAAATTTAAAAACAAAATTTCCTGTTCATGCTCGTCCATATAATGGGAGTGTGACAAGCAACCAGCTTCAAACTTTTAAGAAAAAAAAAGCAAAATACTGTAATGTACCACAGAATGATCCCACATGACTTGTGCCCCACTTTCCAAGTGTTATGAGGGCATGTGATGAGGTTTGGTAAAAAAACTAATTATTATTTACTATTATTTAACGAAAATCCTGACCTTGGTCGTTGGTCTGCTGAGAATGACTGCATGCGTTCATGAGACCGTACTACAGCAGCAGTTCAGAAGCACACAAGTGCAAGAGAAATCAAATCTATCAAGTGATAAAACTAAAAAGTGCAGTGCAGCCTAGAAAGTGTACAAAAGTATACAAGTATACTTTTTTCTTTGAGGTGAATATCTCTTTTCAGATATAAATTCAAGAACCCGCTTTGGTCAAAGTATAGGTGCCCTATTTCATATTATGTTTCATTAACTAGAGATCACTCTGTGATACTATTGCTTTTTCACATTTTTTATATGGGCGAGCATGAGCTGGATATTTTTTTCCATGAGCCGGGACTCAAACTCGGGATGCCCGAAGTGCAAGAATTTGTTTAATATAACTCCTGAATAAACCTGTTTTTACTCAGTCATAAGAGAGGGTGAGCGAACAGTGCTTTTAAAGATTGTGCGAATGTAATGGCATGTGTTTGCTATGCAAGCGCAGCCACTCTAAACAGTTTATGATTACAAAACTTCTTACAATTCCAAGAGCGCTTTTATCAGCAGCCACAAGATGGCACCACATCCTTTAAAAACTAATATCTCACAAAAACCTGCCCAGGTCACTTTTCACCACATGATCAAAATAAATTTTTTCATGTTGTTATTATTATTATAAAATTTTCAATGAGGAATTTACATTCCCATAATGCATTAAGATTTTTTCATAATTCTCAAAAGTGATTGTTATCTAGTTCTTATTAATGTCATTTAATACTATAAATATTTTTCTCATTAAAAGTAACAAGAATGAGATTTTCTGCATTAAATTATGTTTTTGGAAGTTAAAAATGTCATAACTGGCATGAAAATAATGTCAAAAAGCAAAAACTAGTCCTAAAAGTAGACTTTTTTTTCTTTACGCATATGTGAATCTTATAAAATCTTGACAGGTTATAAGAAACCGTCTTGGATGTGCCTCCAAATATCCAGTTTGGAGTTTAAATTTGGCATTAACTCTGACTTTAACAGTAGTGTAGAGGACAATCTCACCCCTGTAGGGCTTTTTCCCCAAACGAGTCTCCTTTCCCCATAGAACGCAAATAGACGGGCTCCTGACCTGGACAGTCCTCTTGAGTCATCGTCACCTGGGCGAGGTGAGAACAAGAGGAAGAGATATTAGCATGGGATCATCTTCACAGCATCACTGCTTGCCCTTTGCACTGAAATAAACTTACCTTTCCTTTACTGATAATGAAGAATGTGTCTCCTCTTGCCCCCTGGCGAATGATGTAGTCGCCATCCTCATAGTGGGTCTACAGGAGAGAGAAAATTGAGGATGTGAAGATGATATGGAAACAGATGATGGAGAAAAATACAGGTGACACTTTCTACGAAGAGGGTATGAATAAAGGATGTGCAGACACAAGACCCAGCAGATTTCTAAATGGAAAAGAGGCAGCACAACATCTCTCTGACCCTTGGTGTGCTATCTAAGACCTTGACCTCCAGACACATCAGTCTGAAATCAGATATGACCAGCAGATAGGAAACCGAAGCCCACAAAGTCTGACACAAGCAAACACTTTGTTCCAACATCACCTAGAGTCTGACCTCCAACAAAACACCCACATACACACCTGCAGTGACAGGAGACACATTTTTCGTTAATTATCCACAAAATGATCGTAAATTAAAAAAACAAAAAAAACAAACAAACTTATAATTCAGAATAACAGATTCTACCATGATTTATACACTTAAAAATGAAAATGTAATGATATATTTTTACTTGCTTGCTTGTGAGACATTTTTAAAACTACATATGTATAAATACATTTGTGTTTGAATTTTTATTATCTGCAACAGATTTCACAATGACAGATTTTTGCTAAAAAAAAATTCTTAATGGTCCTAAAATTATATGTTTCTTTGTGAATGTAAAATGATATTTCTGTATTTTGATTTTTAATTAATAATATGAATAAAAGTAAAGGTTTTATAATAAAAATATCGATTGCTATGTATGATGTAATTTTGTAGACGTGTTTTAGATATCCAATAAAACATTTTGAATATCATAACATAACTAAACATCACGTGCAAATAACAACTTTTGAGAAGAAAGTGTCTTGATTTTGAACAGTAAATCTATTATTTTCTCATTTAACATGTTTTTTTTTTTACACTTGAGTGTGCAAAAGTGTGTTTGTGCTGTCTTTATTTAAATAAATGCAACTTGGTTTGACGTGCATACATTTTAAGTGTAGCTTAAGTGTAAAAATGCGTTTTAAGTACAGTTGTAGCTAGACTGTTTAAGATGAGTGAATACTCCCCAATGGAAAGCACTCAAGTCGGTGTGAATATTCAGTAATGTTAAGATTCAGATATATCTGGACTCTAAATTCAGGCAGCTACACTGTGTATGTGCAATTAATGGAGGAGCTGCATCAAATATAAGTGACCACAAAGATGATGACGGAAGGAAAAATTCCATCCATGTGTCCAGACTTTCATTCCCCAGAGCCTCCAATATAATTCCACATGCAAAATTAACATTTAATTTCAAAAAGCTTTAGCAAATTTCAGTCTCTTTTAAGGTCAATTATTAGCTGAACAGACTCCCTTCCACTCTCTGCAAATTATATTCATTAAGAAATCATGATTGACAGGTGAGTTATTTTAATGACACAGAGCTCACAGTGCCATTAAATACTCTCATTATTTGATCTTACTTCCTCACATTTGCTCTTCTGTTATTGTTAGTGAATATCACAGATTAACAACATGCCTGGTTAGCATGAACCAGCTAACCCCTGCTGGTAGATGCTATTACATTGCCAAAAAACATTGTTCGCCATTGAAAGCCATTTAAAAGTCGCTGTGTGTTTTGATGGAAATGAAAACAATAGCAAGCATCAGTGTTGTTATTGTTAACTAAAAGCTATTTTAAAAGCTAAAAAGTTAAATAGAAATGTTAAAAAAACAAAACTAATACAAATTTTTTAATTAAAATGAACAACGAAAAAAAAAATCTAACCAAATTCAAAATATTAATACTACAATAGTATATAAATAATACTAAAATTGGCAAGCAACATAAACAGTGAATATTTCATTATATTATAGTAGATCTAATGTACCAGAGACCAACATTATAATGTGTATGTCAGAAACGGAGCTGTATCCACTCAATCCACTTTATTTATAATGCTGTCAGTGTTTCATGGTCGCTGTCTAAACCGTACAAATCTGATAGTGTCTGTATTAGACATATTAATAATAAATGTAATTAATAATAAGAGCCAAACCAATTTCTGTGTTGTTGTTGTGTTATTGTTATTATGAGGCTGTGAATCATGTTTTATCACAAAGGCTACTGCACAACCACAGCTACTGCAAGATTATCAACAAATCCACAAAGAATGGAAAACAACAACCTTTCACCCCTAAACACAGGGAGCTGTGGGTCTCCATCACTCACTCCCCAGTGATAATGTCGTATGCTGACGAGGTGAAGCGAGGTGATGTGGACCTCTGTGAATGATAGACTGACTGATGACTAAGATATTCACAATGTCTACGGCTCATCTTTTCATGCTATTCTTAGATAAAACATTGATTTTGCTCCTTTGATGCTTTGTGCAAAGTGGACCTCATATGTCGACTGTCTGAGAACCGGTTATTCTCCATCTTATTCAGGACGAGAGAGTACAAACAACTCTATGATTCACTCCACTACAACTTATTAAACCATGTGCATTCACTACAAGACAAGCAGGTCTATAGATGCTCCCAAATTATTGATGATATGAATGAGGAGCTTTTATAACTTGAGTTGTGAGTCTTTCTTGCTGATAAACAGTCCCTGATGGAATCTGC